CTGAAGTTGTCAAGGCAATGACATCCTTAGTAAATGCTCTCCAAAACACACAATATACTTTTAAGTTAAATATGCATTTTCACCATTTTTTCCATAACTTTATTAAGTCTACGCAGTCAACAAAACAATAAGTCATCCTGATTTATAGCATGTACCTATTTCTGAAGTGTAAGTGTTCACACTGAAAATGTAATAATTGTCTCTTGAGAACCTGTTTGAGCTGGCTACAGGATAGTCCTATGATAGTTAAGGTTACAGTGGTCTGTGATGCTTCAATATAAAGTTATCAGCTATAGGACCGAGATCTCAGGAGCCATCTCCAAACAGACTGTGGACACAAGACCTCCTCAGGTACATACATAAGACAATGGAACAGAGAAACATACGGAGGAAGCCACCTTTAAAAAACAGAACCCTGAAGCCCACTGGTCTCCTCTGATGACGTCCCACAGGCCTCTCTTTTTTTTCCCTCCCCTGCTTCCTTCAGTGAATCTGCTTTTATAGCCAACAGGACAGAAGCGCTCCTCCCTTGCTTTATTTGATTGTTCAGGAGGCCTCAGAGCAGAGAAGCAAGTGGCCTTCTCGGGTCCATTGCCTGCAGTGGCTGTTTGCTATCCCACGGCTCAGCTGGCTTCCTTTGTGTGGTAACAGAGGGCTCACAGTGGACGTTAGATCCACTACCAACTTGAAACCTGTCTATCTGCCTGCATTTATGACCTTGTACCTCCTCATTACAGAGTTCTCTCTTCTAGGGAAGGCCTTTGGGAAAAGGCCTATTTTCGAGTGCTTGGGAAAAATAAATATATTGTTCATTGTGACCAGAAATATGAACAGTTCCCCTTCTGGGTATCAGCAGCCCCCTCCTCTTCATGTAGCATCTAAGAATGGACATAGCCAGGCCATCTTCTCATTCCTTCACCATTCCTAAGATTATAGTGAATCTGCACTTGCCCTCAACATCTCATTCTCCTTTGATGAAATCTGAGATGGAAATTCTCTAAGACTGAGGTGCTCTGTGAGATATGGATTGGGTGGGGGTGGTATTGGAACGATGGAGTAGATGACCAGCAGGGGGCAGGAGGGAGCTGTCATCCTAACAGATTTTCCTTCAGCCTTTGGCTTGGAGTTTAGGCTCAGACTCATAGATCATTAGAGTTGGGATGCATTCCCTTCTATCTGAAGGGACTGAGGTCAGAAGAGAGGAAGAGGCTTGTCTGATGTCACACAGCCAGTTCATCACAGAGATGGCACAAAGACTTAAATCTTCTGACTCCCAGACCAGGGCCCACTGAAGTGGTCAGTTTGGGCACATTCCCATACTCTGGCCTTTTGGCTGCCTTCACAATGGCATACTTCTTCCCAGCAGGCAACAAAGCTAGGTAGGTCAAGATGGACCTGGTGGTGTCCTTCTCTGGTGTCCCAAGCCCAGCCTGACCAGGATTAAAGACAGCTGGGATGACGAAGCTAAGAGTCACAAGGCAGGCTAACTTGTGATCTGCTCCAGAGAACCCCAGGGCTGTGCTTGGGCTCAGGGTCTCAGGACTGGGCCTGTTTGTCAGAAGAATGTTTGAAAGGATATCATATCCTGGTCATTCGTGTGTTGCCAGTGCTGATATTGCTCAGATCTAGGATATTTGCACTATATGGGAACTTCACACATCATCTAATTTAGGGGTTCTTAACCTGGGGTCTGTGAATGGATTTCAGGGGAGTCTATAAATTTGTTTTTTTTTTCTTTTGGAGGCAATTGGAGTTAAGTGACTTGTCCAGAGTCATACAGCTAGTGTCTAGGTGGGATTTGAACTCAGGTCCTCTTAATTCCAGGGCCAGTGTTCTATCTACTGCACCACCTAGCTGCCCCTATATTTATTTGTTTAAATATATTTTTATAACTATATTTTAATATAATTGGTTTCCTTGGCGATATTATATATTTTATTTTATGCATTTAGAAATATGATTCTGAGAAGGGGATTACTAGATTGCCAAGGGAAACTATGTCACAAAAATAGTTAAGAACCCCTTCTCTAGTTCTACTCCCCTCATTATTAGGAAGCCCCATACCTCTAAATAATTCCAGCCAAGTAGAGACCTCCTAGAAAGATTATTTACTCTTCTTCAGTGTTCAAAGGCCTTCCTTGTCAGAAAGGTCTTACTCATCAGAAGAACCACAATTAAGTATTATGAAAACTGTGGCAAATTCAGTTGAAGAAGGGAGTGGGGTCCAGGAACAGATCACTCCAGGAAGTGATGGAGATAGACTGGAGACAGCGGCCATGGGAACTTGGGAGGCTGTGGAAATGGAAAGCCAAGGGGTTCTAAGGGGACAAGAGTTGGGGTAGAGAAGACAATAAGCCAAATACTGAACCTACTGGTGAGGAGGAAGAGTGTATTGGACGTCCATAGAAGACACTGATAAAAAAAACTTGGAGGCAAGATAGCCATGGAAAGATGGTGCCAGAATGGCAGTGGGGAGCAGGGAGTGTGTGTGTGTGTGTGTGTGTGTGTGTGTGTGTGTGTGTGTGTGTGAAGGAGCAATCAGTGTGGAGAAGGTACTAAGAGAATGGTGTCTTTCTTTGGGAGGAAATGAATTTCAATGAGCAACAGAAAATAGAAGGGATAAAAGGGGAAGAGATCTAGATGGAAGAGAAGTTGGTTCCTAGGAGGGAAGGGTTGTAGAGGCTACGGTGGAAGACATCATGGAGGAATAGAAAAAGGAAGGGCTAGGCACAGCTAGTGCTGAGCTGAATAGGAATGAGAGTGTGGGGATAGGTAGCTGGGGAAAGGGGTTTTGAAGACAGAACCCAAACACATGAACTTGGGAGAAGCAGTCCAATCTCTTCCCACTTAGTCTTCCTCATCTTCCTCCATCAACCTCTGTTTTGAGTGACCATATGCCCTCTCCCAGGATTGCCTTTTCCCCCAACACCCTCAAGGACAAGAGCCATTCAAGTACCATGAGGTATAAGGCAATGGGAAGGAACCTGCACCCCAACCAGGTAACAATAATAACTAGAATTTGTATAGCACTTCAAGTTTTGCAAAGCACTTTATATGTGTTATTTCATTTTGCCCTTAAGACATCTCATGAGGTAAGCGCTATTATGGTCTCCATTTTACAGATGAGGAAACTGAGGCAACCAGAATTTAAGTGACTTGTCCAAGGTCACTCAGCTAGTAAGTGTCTGAAGCAGAATTTGAACTTGTTTTCCTGATTCCACATCTAGAGCTCTATCCACCATGCTACCTAGTTGCTTCAGGTGCCACAGTGTATATATCTGGCACCTGAGGAAGAGCTCTTGCTATCCTACCCTAGTTGTGGCTCTGCTTATACATAATCTAACCTAAGTCCATTATGCTGCTGCTTAATTTTATCATCTTGGGCACAGGTGGAGAAAACCTGTTTAGCAAAAAGATGTTAGTAGTTAAATTCTGGGAGAAATTCCCTTTCCTCAATTGCACAGTCAGCAGAGCCACAGCAAAGAGGGACTGCTGCTCCCACCTTGCAGACACACACACACACACACACACACACACACACACACACACACACACACACAGAGCTTGTGTGGTATCTGCTCTATAAATCTGCTGCAATACCGTAACTCTTTAGATTCATTCCAATGCAACAAATGTTTATCATACTGGTCCCTGCGCTAAGACAAGAGGGATGCATGGTTCGTTGTCCAGGAGTATACAGTCTAATAGAGTGCAGAAGGCAGGATGTGATGAGGCCTCAGATAAAAATGACATAAAGTAGAATGGGATAGAAGGAAAGGAGAAATCCAGACAGAATTTGACAAAAGACTTAATGCTTTTCAGTCTCTTGAAATGATGCTGGATCACCTAGGAAGCTGGGTCAATTCTAGAACTGCTCTGGTGGTTGGGGAAGGCTCAATAAAGAGTTGTCTCCCAGGTTCTGCACTGGAGCTGTGCTCTGAGCCGTCCCCCAGCACCCTGGCCTGGCTGTGTGGGAGTGGACCCTCTGTCCTGTGGTCTGAGCTGGACCAAAACTAACCTTTAAGGTTAGCTAGCAGAGTAGGGAGAGAGTAAAAAGGGAGGACTGGGGAAGAAGAACAGTGTGTCTTTGGCCTTTCTTGCCCCTTTGTTTGGTTTGATTTCAGATATTCTAGGAGGAGAGACAAATTTCTAAACACTTTTGTGCATCCTAGAAAAGAGCTTCCATTCAGGCAACAGTAACACATCAATGGCTTATATTGGGCTTTTTTTTTTTGAAATTTGCAAATGAGGAAACAGGCCTATGAAGATCACAAGATCACAGAATTCGAGAGCTAGAAGGGACTTGAAGTGTCACCAAGCCCAATCCATTCATGAAAAGAATCTCTGATGAAATGACTTGCCCAATATCTCCCAACAAGTTAGTGGCAGGGTGCAGACTAGAGCTCAAATCTCCTGACGCCAAATGGTCTGCTCTTTCCTCTGCCCCAGACTGCCTCCAGGTCACGAGGTTGACCACTGACACTGTGATGGTATCTGATGGCAGGAAGGGCCTACCCCACCCTAAATAACATAGAGGTTTAATGATAGGGACCAAAGTGGTTCATAGAATCCCAGAGATGGAAGGGTCCTTAGAGGCTTTTTATTTTATTTTTTAAATAAGTTTTTATTGGTACTTTCTATTTCTAACATCACCATGGTATCCCAAGAGATCCACCCCTTTTTAGAGAACCATCCCTTACATCAAATAGTATTTTTGGAGAGAAAAAAATAGGTCAGCACATCTAATTGATAAGAATTAATAATTGACATGAAGACGTGTGCAGTATGTACTACCTGCGGAACTCCGCCCACCACCACAAAGAGGTACCTCAGAGGTTTTTCGGGTCAACCTATATCTAATTAAGAATCCCCAGGATAATATTCCTGACAAGCGGTCATTCAGCTTCCACTCGCAGACCTCCAGTGATGGAGGCAGCTCATTCTCCTTATGGACTATTCTCATTTTTAAGATGTTTCTTCTATATCAAATATTCACTTACCTCTTTTCAGCTTCTAGCTCTGTTCCTCCATCTTCTGAGATGACTCCAAATGAGTTTATTCTGTCTTCCATATGATGGCCTTCAAAATACTTAAAGGGAGCTGTCATGTTCCATAAAGTCCTTCCTTTTTAGCCTGACTTATACAAAATAGCATTGGGGTGTTACGCCCCTGGGTATACACTTGCCTCCTTCTTTTTTTCTTTTTTGAAAGAAAAAAAATATAAGCTTCAATCTGTACTCTGAGTCCATCAGTTCTTTATCTGAAAGTGGATAAAATTTTTCATCATGAGTCCTTTGCAGTTGTGGTGGATCATTTTACTGAGCAGTTATTCTTTCACTCTTTATAATGTCGCCATTAATAACATACATTGTTCTCCTCAATTCATACAAAACTTTTCAGGTTTTGCTGAAACCATCCTGCTCAGTGTTACTTATAGCACAATAGCATTCCACCTCAATCATGTACCATAAATTGCTCAGCTATTCTCCACCTGATGGGCATCCCTTCAATTTCCAATTCTTTGACACCTCAAAAAGAGCTGCTATAAATATTTTTGTACATACAGATCCTTTTCATTTTTCTTTGACCTCCTTGAGGTACTGACCTAATAATTGCATTGTTGAGTTAAAGGGTATACACAATATTACAGCCCTTTGGGCATAGTTCCAAATTGTTCTCCAGAATGGTTGGACTAGTTCACAGTGCATTAGTGAACCTATTTTCCCATTTCCCCTCTAGCATTTGCCATTTTCCTTTTCTGCCATTTTAGCCAAGCTGATAGGTACTAGGTGGTAGCTCAGATTTATTTTAATTTGCAATTCTCTAATTATTAGAAACTTACATCATTTTATATGAACTTTGATAACTTTGATTTCCTCTTCTGAAAACTGCCTGTTCATATCTTTTGATTATTTATCAATTAAAGAATGGCTCTTATTTTTATAAATTTAGCTCAGTTCTCTATATATTTGAGAAATGAGATTTTTATCAAGGAAACTTGGTGTAAATGTTTCCCTTTTTTCTGCTTTACTTCTAATTTTGGCTACATTGGTTTTGTTTGTGCAAAATCTTTTTTAATCTTATGTAATCAAAATTAGCTGTTTTACCTCCCATGAACCTCTCTATCTCTTATTTGGTCATGAATTCCCCTGTTCATAGAACTGACAGGTAACTTTTTTCATGCTCCCTGAATTTGCTTAAATCACCTTTTATGTTTAAATCATATACCCATTTTTGTTTTACCTCAATATGTGGTATGATATGTTGGTCTATGCCTAGTTTCTGCCAGATTGCTTTCCAATTTTCCCAGCATTTTTTGTCAAATGATGAGTTCTCACCCCCAAAGCTCGGATCTACTTGCTTCTTTCTCAAAACCTTGCTTTATCCTGTTGATTTCTGATCCTATCCCTGACTTACCTAAGTTAGCATCACATGATTACAGATTTAGAGCTGAAATGGACCTGAGAGGTCATCTGGTCTAACACTCTCATTTTACAGATGAGAAAACTGAGGCCTAGAGAGAGAAATTAAGTGACCTGCCTAAGATTATACAAGTAGTAAGTGGAAGTGGTAGGATCTGAACCCAGGGCCTATGACTCCAAATCCAATGGGCTTTCCACTGTAGTTCGATAACTCTGGGTCAGCATGGTATACTAGCATCAGCACTGGATTTGGATTCGAAGAACCTAGGTTAAAATCTCAGTTGCTCTTTGCTACTTGTGTGACCTTGGCCAAGCCATCTCCCCCAGAGTTATCAAACTCCCTGCCTGCAGACTGCAATCCATAGGCATCTAAAACCAGATTAAAATGCAATTGGAAAATGTTTAACAAAATAAATAAAAGTTCAGCACAACACAGATTATGTTAATTTGTTGTTTTCAAAGTCAATATATGGCCCATAGAATCTGTTTCTGCTTAAATTTGGTAACACTGATATCTCTGTTTAGGCTTCCATTTCTTCATTTTTAAAATAAGGGGTTGGACTACTTAATCCTATGATTTAGGATTCTGATCCTGCACTCCAAGGGACCAGCCACTGACGTCCTCTCATTCTCTGGCTTCTAGTTGGAATCAAGATGGTGGGAGGTCCCTCTCATGTTCACAGCGAATTCTGATTTCCCCACAGTTCCTTCTTTGAACCTTCACAATGTGAGATTAATTACAATTTGTACTTCTTTATGATGTAGGTCACTTCTTTTTGGAGCAAGCTTCCTCTTTGGACTTTTATGATCCATGGAAGGCAGTCACACCAGAATAGAGAATGCTTTTGATTGATTGCAAATTTAAAAATAGTGTTTTCTATTTTAATAAGCTCATAGCAGAGTCAGAGGGGGAACTAAGCATTTCTCTTATACCCTGAGGGGTAACGTAATGGCACTTTTGGTACTTTTAGAGGTGGAGGAGGCAGGATGGTCACTGGTCAGTTCTACTTGGGTGCCGTACCTGGACATTTGGCATCATGGTATTTGCTCATCATCATTTTACTTAGAGTTGATTCGTTGGATAGAGTGCCAGTTGTGGAGTCAGGATGATCTGACTTCAAATCTGGCCTCAGACATTTCCCAACTGTGTGACCTTAGGCAGGTCACTTAACCCTATTTGCCTCAGTTTCGTTATTTATAAAATGAGCTGCAGAAGGAAATGGCAAACCACTCCAGCAATTTTGCCAAGAAAACCCCAGATGGGGTCACAAAGACACAACTGAAACAACCCAACAACAACAGCTTTACTTAGAGGCAGACGGCTTGTGCTGACCTGCACCTTTTATTCAAAAGGCTGTAATATCCCTGCCCTTTAGAGGAGTCAGAAACAGCTACCGTAGATTGCTACAGAACCACAGAGCTGGGAGGACTTTAAGGTTCTACTTCTAACCAAAACAAGAATCTTATCAGCAACCAGCTTCACACACAGAAAGGACAGTTTTGTTACTATCATGTTAAATTTAATGTACTCTGGAAAAAATGTAACAGAAGGTCCTGCTTTATGTGCCTTTCTCTTTTTGTTCTTCGTGTATTGAAATGTTCATATTTGTTGAGGTTTGTTAAGTTCAAAATTTAAAAAAAAAATCTAAAAAGCCTGACATGCCTGACAAATGCTCATTCAACTTCCTCTTGAAATCCTTAAGAGACGGGGAACTCACTACTTCCAAAAACAGCCTATTGCAATTTTGGATAGTTTCACTTAATTGTTGAGAATTTTTTTTCCTTAGACTGAACGGGGATTTGATTCCCTGTGGTTTCTACTTATTGCTGCTGCTCTTCCCTTCGGAGCCAGTCAAAATTAGTCAAATCTTTCTTCTCCTGCGGTAGTGACAAGACAATATGTGGTGTAAAGAACATTGGACTTAGGGTTAGAAGAAATGGATTTGAGTCTTGGTTATGATCCTCAGAATCAGAGGATTTAGTGTTTAAATGAGTGTTCAAGCTTATCTAGTCCAATCCCCTCATTTTAGAGATGAGGAAATTCAAGCCCAGAGAGAAGTGACTTACCCAAGATCAGACAGGTATTAGGTGGCAGAGCCAGGATTCAAACTAAGGCAACATTCAGTGCATTTTCCACGGTGTCACAGTTGCCCCCATTAGTTCTGTGACCCTGGGAAAGTCACTTCACCTCCTGGGGCCTCAGTTTCTCCATCCGTAAGATGGTCACAGTTATGCTTATGTTATCTGTCTTGTTTGGTTGTTTTGTGGTTGTGTGGTTTGTGCTTTGCAGATTTTAAATTTGAGCTACCCTCATGAAGGAAATCTAATGTATGATCATCTAAATTTTAAAAACAGATCAATTAGGGGTTGATTATTTGCTTGCTAAAGAATTCTTCACCTTGAAAAGAGATTCACCGCAGGATTCTCTTTAAAATGAGGTCCCCTATTGAGTGTTAAATATAATTTAATTTACATGCAACCTGTTGAATTCCATTCACCAAATATTTCTTGGGTTACAATATTTATAAGTGGCTATTATGTGCAAGACACTGTGCTCGGCTAGGGAGAGTTAAACGATGAATAAGTTATAGTTGCTAACTACAAGGAGCTCACAGTTTAGTAGGGGTAACGAGCCATGTACAAAATAAGTATAACACAATAGAATATGATGAGTATGTAGGGGAGGTACAAAGAAAGTGCTGTTGGAAGGAAGTAGATCAGAGAAATTTCGTGGAGAAGGGAGATGTATGAGCTGGGTCTTCAAGATGGGCAGGATTTCAACAGGCAGAGATCTAGGGAAGTGGATTCATTCTAGGCATATAAAATAGCTTATGCAAATGCAATGTGACGTATTGAAAAGTTCAAGAGATGTAATATCTGGATGATTAGTCATTTTATTAATTATGGCTAGCAAATAATTAGTAAAAGGATTGATCATTTAGCTATCTCTCCTGAACCAAAGATGGATCATGGTGGCCTATTGATGCTTGTATGCCCTTGGAAGAGTGGGTATTCCTGACAGATGGCAAGTAATTCTTATTGGTTAATAAGTAATCAGAAGAATGAATATTATAATGAGAGGTGGACCTATTCTAATGAGGGGTTGGGGAATCTGACTAAGTTTGCCACTCTTACTTACCTCTACCCAGACCACCCACAGCCTTAGGTGGTCTAGACAAAGGATCTGCCCCCCACCCAAGCCTGAGTAGAACCCAACGGGATTCCCCACTTGGGTGGGGTCTAAACAAAATTGAGGAGAAAGTTAATCTAATCTCATTATCAGCAATGTCTTTCAGATGTTGGCTGAATAATTTACAAGAGTCTGATTTCTGAATGAAGAAACAGAAAGGGAAAAAATTCTGAATCTCCCCAATAGTAAATGGTTATTAATATAAGAGGGAAATAATCATTTGTCTCAACAAAGAGATAGGAAATTGTAGCCCAGCATGGTGGCACATGCCTATAATCTGCTGCCAGGGAGGCTGAGGCTTGAGCTCAAGGGCTCTGAGCTGCAGTGGGCTATGCACAGTAGATGATGATCACTCTAAGTTTGGCATCAATATGGTGAGCCACTGGGAGCAGGGTAGATCACCTAAAGAAGGAAGAATCAGTCCAGGTCAGAAATTGAGCAGAAAAAAGCTTTTGTGCTGATCAGTATTGTGAACAGGCTTGTGAGTGGTTCCTATGCCTTTAGCCTGAGCAAAACAGGGAAACCTTGCTTGAAAAACAATGTGGTCAACATCTGGGCAGCAACAGCAAGAGGTGCAGTTGGGTAGGATTACAAAATGTGTGAATGGGAGGAGTGGAAGGATGGGAGAGAGCCAGCTGGTAGAAAGTGATGAATGCCCAGCTAAGGACTTGAGCTTCGATTTGGTGCTGACAGGGAGACATTAGAGGACTTTAATCGGAGAAATGATGCATTAGGAAAGTTACCCTACTAGATTACCCATGATGCCAGGATACTGGGGATGAGACTTCTGGGATTGCTGAATTTCTAAAATGATGTCACTGCAGGCAAGGCTCGAAGACAGGCACCAGTGAAAATCAGGGTCCAGCTACCACCCCTCTCACTCATGGACAGTGCCTCTCAAGACCTATCCTCAAGTAATAATGAATAATAAGCACTTAGAAGTTTGCAAAGCACTTACAAATATTACCTCATTTTATCCTCACAACAACCGTGGTAGATGTGTGCTATTCTTTTTCTTTTCTTTTCTTTTCTTTTTTTGGTGAGGCAGTCAGGGTTAAGTGACTTGCCCAGAGTCACACAGCTAGTAAGTGTCAACTGTCTGAGGCCAGATTTGAACTCAGGTCCTCCTGATTCCAAGGCTGGAGATCTATCCACTGTGCCATCTAGCTGCCTCTGGTGGGCGCTATTCTTACCCCCATTCTACAGATGAAGAAGTTGAGGCAGACAGAGGTTAGGTGACTTGACCAGAGTCGCAGTAGCCACTTTTTAAGCAGATAACACTTGGATTAGCAATTCTCCAGTTCCAAACTCTCTTCTGAGTTCGTGGCTTCTCCTCAAACTGGACGTGCCCATCTAGATGTCCCTTCAGACCTTCTATCTTAACACAGCTAAAACTTGACTCATCATTTCTCTCTTCCAAACCTGGCCTTCCTTTTGACTTTTCCATTTCATTGATGGTACTACCATCCTCTTAGCCCTCTAGGCTTGAAAGCCACCCCAGACTCATGCTACCCCCTTTCATTTCCTTGCTTTCTTCTCCTTTCCCCATCCAGACAACCCTATATACATTCATACATACATACATACATATATATATATACACACACACATACATACATACATATATATGCATATATATATACATATACATACATACATATATATGCATATATATGCATATATATATAGATAGATATATATATAGATATATATGTTCATTCCAGTAAATCCTATCCGTAGGTCTCACCTCAACAATGTCTCTCATATCCGTCTCCTTGCTGCTAACTCAAATGCGATCCCTCATCACCTCTATCCTGGTCTATCACTATAGCTCCCTAACTGTTCCACTTTCCAATCCATCCTAGATTAATCTTCCCAGCTCTGATTATGTTATTCAAAACAAGTCAACTTGACAAGCATTTATTAAGTACCTACTGTGTGCCAGGCACTTCTTTAAGCACTGACAATACCAAGAAAGACAAAAGATGATCCCTGCCCTCAAGAAGCTTGCAATCTAAGCATCTATCTTCTGTTTCAAAGCCATCAGAGGTTGCCCATTACCTATTACATAAAGTTTAAGCTTTTTAGTCTGGCATTCAAGGCCATCAACAATCTGGCTCCCCATTCCTTTTCTGATTATCTCACACTTCTCTGTCCTCCAGACTAGACAACTATTCCTAAACTTCTTGCCTTGCTATGTTCCCTCTACATTGGAAATTTCCTCTCCTCCTGTCCCTACCCATGGAAATCTTATCCCTCTGACTCTTGCTCAAGTGTCACCTCCTTGACTGGGACAGAACTAGGACCAACTGATGTCAACACAATTAAGGAAAAGCCTTCCAGTACTTGAGCTGTCCAAGAGTGGAATGGTCTGTCTTGGAAAGTAACGAGTTCCCTGTCACTGAAGGTATTTAAGCGTAACTGGATGATGACTATTTTGGGATATTGTAGAAGGAATGATTTCTCGGTAACTGAGAAATCTAATCATTAGATAAATGGTTCTTAAACATTTTGTGTGTCATGGACCCACCTGGCAATCAGTCCTGTGGAGTCTATGGACTCCTCAGAATAATATTTTTTAATGCATAAAATAAAATATATAGGATCACAAAGGAAACCAGTTATACTGAAATATATATTATATGTATATATACATACATATATATTTACATAGCATTTAAATTCGCAGATCCCCTGAAGTCTATTCATGGGGTCCATGGATCCCAGGTTAATAACTCCTGCATTAGATCGTCTCTAAGATGCCATCTAATTCTGAGACTCTATTATCATATAAGATTATCCCTGATTATTTCTTCCCCATCCTCTCTCCTCCCCGAAGTAGAAATAATCCCATCGGTTCCTGAATTCTCATAGAGCTTCTGTGACTTACTTACCATGCTCTGTATTGTATTTCTCTATTTACATATCTAGTGTCTGATACTAGATTGTAAGCTTCCTGAAAGAAAATGTATCTTTGTGTCCTTTGGTAGCCAGAACCTAGCATGGTGCTGCCTTGTTGAAATTATGCATCTAGTTAGCATTCAATAAATGTTTGGGAAATGAATGAATTTTTTCCCATCCTTCCACCGACCCCCCCACAACCTCCACTTTCCCCCAAATGTAACTATGACTCTGCAGACATCTTATTAATGATCCAGCAGAACCACCATTTACTCAAATGGCCTGTGCATTCTCAGGACCCACGGGAGGGGTACTGGATCATGAAGGAATGAAGGCAACCTCTACAAAATTTTGTTTGAGGCCTTAACATTTGTAGTTATCTATTAGGAAACAGAACATTAATGTTGTGTTTCTAAGTCTTTCTAAAGTCTCAGGAAGCTGCTGAGGTATCATCAGCTCTTGCAATGTAATGAGTTTCAATTTCTGTTCAATAGATGCTAAGCAGCGATCTCCTGGCGAAGATGAGAGAGGCACAATCAATAAGCATCATTGGCATAGATGTGACTAAAATGAAAATGTTATTAAGAAAGCTAATTCCACAGAGATGGCAGCTATAACATTTCTTGCAATTAACGAACAAATAATTTGATCGATTACCAATATTTGCAGAAATATTTTTGTTTAGCTGATAAACAGAAGGAGAAGCTAATGGGAAGGAAGATCTTTTAGTCTGGAGTCTCTGAGTCTACAAATGTGCCTGTGTAATTTGAAATGCCGCACACGTCTGGGCAGGAGGGGTATGTGTACTTTGGTTGTTTTTCCAGTAAAGGGGCTTGGTTTCTGTAGATCTTCCACATTGTCTTGTCCATTTCCCCTTCGGAATAAGAGACAGCACAGAACAGAAAAGAAAACTTTTTGAGTATAAGTACCTCTTTACAATGTTAAAATATTTTGCAGATTTCCCCCCTCTCCTGATACTATTTATGGTAGTAGGAGAGACATTATGGTGCTATGGATAAAGTACTAAAAGACTTGGGTTCAAATCCCACCCCAGACATTTATGAGCTGTGTGACCATAGGCAAGTCACTTAACCTACATAAGCCTCAGTTTCCTCTCCTGTAAAATGGGCACCAGTAGTGCCAACCTTACAGGATTGTTGTATCAGATAAGATAAGACATGAAGAGTGCATCTTGAACCTTAAAGTACCATATCAATGTGAGCGGTGATAGTAGATATGTTCTTAGTGTCTGTTGACTGAGGGAAAAACTCACAACAGCAAGCTGCTAGGAATTCAGCAGTACTTTTACATGAATTTGTAATCTGCCTATCACAACAGAATCTACTTACATTTGAAAAATAGCAATGGTTCAAGGTATACAAACTCATAGGAGGAATGTTTACTTACTTTAGACTCAAGCGCAACCCAAGTTATGTGTCAACATATAACTCACAACTTCCAGCTTCCCAGCTAAAATCCCACCCTCTTCACAATAAGCCCTTCCCAGTCCCTTTAAAAGCTAGTGCCTTCCCTCTGAGATTATCTCAAAATTATCCTGTCAACATCCTGTTGTTTGTACATAGCTGTTCGTATTTTGTTTCTCCCATTAGATTGTGAATTTCCTGAGAGAAGGGATCGTTGTTTCTCTCTCTCTCTGTCTCTCTCTCTGTCTCTCTCTGTCTCTCTCTGTCTCTGTCTCTCTCTCTCTGTCTCTCTCTCTCTCTCTCTCTCTCTCTCTCTCTCTCTCTCTCTCTCTCTCTCTCTCTCTTTGTATTCCCAGGGCTTAGCACAGTGCCTGGCATATAGTAGGTGCTTAATAAATGCTTGTTGATTTGACTTTACCTCCCAGAGACTCAGTTTCCTTAGCTCTAAAATGGGGATGAGAATATCTACACAAGAGGCAGCATAGTAAAGTGGATGCAGAGCTTACCTGAGAGTTAAGGAGATCTGAGTTTAAGTGTTTCCTCTGGAACATTTTGGCTACGTGTCTGTAGGCAACTCTCTAAGATAAATTATCTATAATTCCAGACGTACATCAATAGGGGCTGTTTTCACATTGGGAGCTCCCTGTACTGATAAAATCACAGGAATAGTCCAGTAAAAAAACTTGCACTCCCGGCCCTGCAGGGTTGTATGTAGACCAAAAAGTACTTTATGCATGCAAAGTATTATTATTTGTTGACGCAAGACACCTGTGCAGGTCAGGGGCACCTCTTATGACCAAGGAACAGAGTGGAGTTCCCAGGCTTGCACAGAGGTCCTGTCTAAGATTTTAACACAAACTTCTAAGCACCTGACTTAACGCATGACAGATGCCTCAGGAACTAGACATCTTAGGAGTCCAAGATAGACCCACCTTCTTCCCTACCCCCTGCAAATAATAGCACTACTTGAGTAAGCTCTCAGAGAACATTCCTCTAGAAGAGACGCCCCAGTTTTCCTTTTTGGGGGATAAGCTTTGATCAACATTCAGGACATGCACATATGCAGAAAAAAAATGCAGTGTTTCCTGAATTTCCAATATCACTTGGTGCCTTGCTCGGCACTGGTAATTTTGTCCAGGAAATGGCCTTTCTCTGCAAGAGCCGTGAAATGGAAAAAACAGTGAAAAACTTACAAAGTTTGAAATGTAGATGACATTTCTCCCCCACATTGCTTTGACATCATCCTAAGACCAGAGAGGTGGAAGAGATTTTCATTTTTCTTTTTCTGGTTATTACTACCACTACTAATGATAAAATATTATAATATGATATGGTCATGTAATGGGTATTTTTAAAACTTTGCCTAATTATAATTTTGTTCAGCTGTGCAGAAAGTGGAAGGAGGGAAATAGACAGTAAATATTTCTTCTCCCCAAAGGTTTGGCGCTCTTTCTCACATTGAACACAAGCCCCTCCCGCTCCCTTTCTTATCTACACCAACCACTTCTGTCCTCCTAGACTTGTCTCTTTCAGTATGTTTTTAAGTAGCTATATCTTCATCTACCAGCTAAAAGAAAAACACATCGATGCATTCTGAATAGCTTGGTTGTTTGTAATTCTGACACATCCTTTATATGGAGGCCATCCTTTGGTATCCTTGGACAGTCCTCTCTTTGGAGACTGGATGACCACTTGTTGGAGACATAGTAGAGGGGATTACTGCTCAGGTGTGGATTGGACTAGATGACCCTGAAGGTCTCTTCCAACTCAGAAATGCTATGATTTAAAAGCTTATTGACCCAGCCATCAGAAGTAAGGCCTATGCTTTGAGATGCTTTTTTCTAGCAGTAGAGATGAATTTGTGCTTATCCATAAACACTCTTTCCCCTCATTCTCCTTGTAACTAATGTCACAAATTTGTGAGATGGATATTTTAAAAAGATCATCATAGAATCATAAATGTATTCAATCTTGGTGCTAAAAGGACCTTAGAGATTATCTAGTCTATGTCCACAGAAGACAATGAGACCAATTGATCTTTTTGTCGATCAAACATGTAATTTTGACTCTATTAGTATTATGTTGTGGGTGGTGCAGTGGATAGAATGCCAGGCCTGGAGTTAGGAAGACTCAACTTTGTGAGTTCAGATCTGGCTTCAGACACTAGCAATGTGACCTTGGGCAAGTCACTTAACCCTCTTTGCATCAGTTCTTCATCTGTAAAATGAGCTGGAAAAGGAAATGGCAAACTACTTTAGTATCTTTGCCAAGAAAACCCTAATGGGGTCACAGAGAGTTAGGACTGAAACAAGTGTTTTGCTCTAACCATTTGGCATTAATGAACTTTCCCTATAAAATTTTAGAATGGTATCCTATTCCCCATAGCCATGCTTGGGGGTAGGGCAGACATTGTCCTTCAGGATGGTGGTGTTGGGTCATAGGAATGTGGGGTCCATGGTTTGGACCAAGTGAACAAATATCCTGGAGCATTGGTAGAGACCTATCAATACACTGATGCAATAAGCTATAAAGGAGTTAGGCATTTAGGGATTGCTGCTCAGGTGAATCTTTGATGCCAGCTGTCTTTCCATTGTGCCAAGCTAGCTTTACATTAACGAAGCTTAAAAATCTAGTGAGACTGATAAAGCGTGCATACAAATACCTATAATAAAAGGTTATGTGGTAAGTGCCATAAGAAAATCTTTCAGTAGTGGAAGAAAGAGAATATCTATCAAAATAGGATTCCTCCATTTCAACAAAGTATTTGACAGAAGTATCTTATGGTCATTTTGTGGACAAAAAGGAAAAACATGTGGACTGGATGGAATTATAACTAGGCAAAATTTAACTGTTACTAATGATTGATGAGATATCAGTTGGGAAGGAGGCCTCATATGGTAGATATGTGTTGAGTGAGGGGATGCCGGTATACACAGGAGTGAGTATTCCACTGGCCTTTCCTTTTCCCTTCAGGGACTTTGAGGCCTGTGCTCTGTGCATACTTATGGAGGTCTCTATGTTAAAAGGTTCTGTTTGGGATACACATACAGTATGTGGATAACACAGTGATGGTAGGAATAGCTAATCCATTGGATTGACAAAATCAAGATCCCAAACTATTTCAGTAGGTTAGAACAAATTGGAATTTAATGAGGACAAGTGGGGAGTCCCATTTTTAGGTTTAAATGATCAGTTCCTAAATACAAGATTCCTTGACAACAGTTGGTGTGAAAATGTCTGCCAAGTTTTATTTGAACACAAGGTCCAGATGAGCCCCAAGTGGGATATGGTTGCTAATAAAACCAAAGCAATCTTAGACTAAATTAATAGAAATATCATGTCCAGCTGAAGGAGGTAATAAATGCAAACTGGGCAAGTCAGACAACATCTGGAGTACTGTGACCAGTTCTGGGGGGGAGAGGGGGTGATGTGTCATGCTTTAAGAGGGACATTGACAAATTAAATTGTCTAGGTGAGTGTGACTGGGATACTGAGGGGCATGGAAACCTTGTCGTGTGATAAATGGTTGAGAGGATGGGAAGTATATAACTTGGAGAAGAAAAGATTTAGGAGGGACACAATAGCTGTCTCAAAATGTTTTTAGGGCTTGCATGTAGAACTGGAAATGTTTTTTTTTTCTGTATTGCTCCAAATAGGAGCAATGGATGGAATTTTCAGCGAGGTAGATTCCAACTCATTATAAGGAAATCTGATGTTGAGGAAAGAGCACAAAACCGAAAGTCAAAAGACTTGGATTTGAAGATGACACTGATTGTGTGATCTTGGAGAGGTCGCTTGACTGAAAAGAGTCTCAGTTTTCCCATGTCTAAAATGGGAATGATAAAATTTGCTCTCTTTATAATTTGCCTCATGATCAAACCAGATGATATAAAAGTTATGTAAAAGCATTGACAAAAAATCCTTTTTATTATTATGAACTTGACAAACATTGACAAACACCAACATTTCCCTGTTCAAGAAGAGTAGGAAAAGAAGACTAAATATGAAACTGTGAATTTCTACCACATATAGGTCTGTTGTTTTTTTAAATTACAAACTCAGTATCATAATTCCAACACTGTTCTGCTTATCTATTCTCTTCTTCTGTGTATTTTTAATGATTTATTGACACTCTTTTCTTTCTTTTCTTCTTTTTTTTTTAAAGTATTACTATCACTACCCTCAGTTCCTCCCCTCTAGTGGTGCTCCCTCCTTTCCATAAAAAAAACCCTCCCTTGTAGCAAATAGCTGTAGCCATGAAAAACAAATTCCTATATCACTTGTGTCTGAAAACGTATGTCTCATTCTGTCCCTCTAGTCCAGGATCTGTCTGCCAGGAAGTGGGAAGCTTGCTTCATCATCAGTCCTTAGAGGAGTGATTATTTGTTCTGTAGACCTTACGTCTTTCCCAGGTGTTTTCCTTTCCAGCATTGTAGTGATTTCGGAAATAGTTCTCCTGGTTCTGCTCTCTTCATTCTGCATCAGTTCATACAATTCCTACCTGAATCTGTCCCTTTCATCATTTCTCATTTTGAATAATATTCCATTACATGCCCAAGATACTTTCCCTCCTCAACTCTGCTTCTTGGTTTTTCCAGTTTCAGGTCAAATCTCACTTTCTGTAAGAAGTTTTCTCTGGTGCCCCCAAAGTCTCATCTCAAATCCCACCTTCTTTAGAAGGCCTTTCCTTGTTCCCCTAGCAGATGGAGTCTTCCCCTCAGAGACTGCCTTCCATATACTCTGTATATATCTTATATAGGTATTCACATTTCTCCTGTTTTAGACTGAGTGCCAGCTCACAGTACCGTGCCTGACCCATGGCAAGCTATTAATAAATGCTTTTTGACTGATTTATGATTTTTTGTTCAGTCATTGTGAAAGCACTTTGTAACTATAAATTTCTACATAAATGCAAGCTGCTATTAATTTTAACACCAGCAACATGTCCGTTGCTGTCCAGCAATGGAACAGTGTACTCTATAAAGCAATCAAATCCCCATCCCTGAAAGAGCTCAGAAAGAAGCTGGATGTACCATGGACAAGAAAGCTGGGGAGAGCATTCCAGCCCTGGTCGAGGGGATGAACTAGATGGCCCCTATGGTTTCTCATAGTGCTGAGCTTCTAGACCAATTAGTGGAGCTCTGGCTCACTGCTTGTAGACAGTATATCACTGTCAACAGTTATAAGTGGCATGAATTTTCCTTTGGGGGCAGCTTCTGTTGCAGAAGCCACAACCAGATAAACTGCAGAAATTAAATTTCCTTCACTAAATGGTCATTTCACATTAAGATTTAGGAACTGGTAGAGAGAAAAAAATAGCATGTTTGCTGGACTGAAGTCTCTTTAATCTAAGATTCTAGTCTTCTTTGGAATGGTGAAAGGTCTTCAGTCTTCATTTATTTTAACCTGATTCTCACCATGCTTTACTTTCCTTCCTGGGTACCATTCCCCCCACCCCAGCTTTTCAAGAAATAACAGCTGTTTAAGGATGAGATGGACTTTTCCATGTTTGTAGATTGTTGATCAAGATGTTGGGAATTTAAATATACCTGTTGTGTAACAACAGCTAACATTTATAGAATGCTCTAAAGTTTACAAAGTATCTATTTGATCCTCCCAACAATGGTGGTAGCTAGATGCTATTATTATCATCCCCATTTTACAGATGAGGAAACTGAGGCTAAGAGTGGTTAAGTGACTTGCTCACAGTCCCACAGCAAGTAAGTATCTAGGGCAGGATTTGAATTCATGTCCTCTGTATTCCATGCCCAGTATTCTAGCCATTATACTACTTGACTGGCTTTTAAAACAATTATTTAATGTTTTAAACTTTCATGTCACAGAAGACATTCAAAGAAGTTGAGAACTGGGGGAGGGGAGTTTCAGACACAATTTTAGAAAGTCTCCAGTACATACACCTGACTCCTCCAACTTACTTTCAGTTTGTAGGAAACAGAACAGCTCTCCTGCTCTCCTCTGGGGAAAACTTCATTTGAGAGCTCCAGGAGGGAACCTACTCCCATGGAAAGAGACAATGCAGACAGTCTGCAAGAGCCTGTTCTGACTCTAGCTTCCTTCTCATTGCCTTTCGCACTTTTATAATACAGACCTCAGCTACCTATGAGGAATTCACTCTCAGTAAGTTTATTAACTGATCTCTAGCAAGTGGGTACCTCCTGAAAGCTTGGGCTTTGACCAAAGTGAGTATTATGTGTAAAGTTAGTGTTTTATGGTGTCTTAGAGAAATAGGATAAATAACCAGGT